GGAAGGCTTTAACTTTAACATAGCAAAATTACATATAACAAAACAGTTATCAAGCAAGAATTACAGTTGCAATATTTATATCTATTTTATCTTTTATCATAACAATGGAAAACTATAACTATCTATTTTGAAACTCCATCAAAGACTCCAGAGGAATACAATAATATCTAAGCAAACAAAAAATAAGCATTTTTCAAAACTCTAGAAATGACAGAGACATCTCGCTGCCTGTACAGTCACCCAAAGTTCCTCTGTACTGTTGGGGCATCCATCTTCTGCCTACAGGCCCATAGTTTCCAGCAGACATTTCCACAAAGCAGGAAATTTCAAAGGCAGTCACTATCTCCTTGTCCTGAAGAATGTCTTGCAGACTCTTTCATGAATCAGGAACCCCGAAAGATCATCTCACCTTTAGGCAAGTTCAGTAGTCCTCTCTCTGTGGGTTCTCTGTGTCCAGTTTATGCAATAGTCCAGGCAAGAACAGTTTCTTGCCCAAATGGCTATCAAACTCTATAAGGATCCTCTTCGATGCCCATCTTCTTCTTGAAGTAGATCGGTGCTGCCAGGAGCAGAGTGTCTCATTGTCATGAAAAAACCCAAAGTTATTAAAACATTAAATGTCCTATTCTGAAATCTTTGAAAGTTATGAAGAATGTCTATCTAAAATTTATCTATGTACATCTAGAAAATCTAACTAACATGACTACAAACTTGACTATTATGATTATTTATTAACAAGCTATATATATTACATTTTAAGTGAACTACACAATCACAATATCTTAATCAATAGCAGAAATATGCATATACATATAACAAAATTGACCTTAAATCTCTATCAATAAAGCAAAATCTATACTAATACAAATTATTCATATCTATATCATATCCCCCTTTAAATGTTAAAGAACGTTTATAAACCATATTGGGGAACATGGGTGCAGTTTTTTCTCTCCAAACTGCTTCCTGCTGAATGGGGGCATCGTTAATTAGGTCTTTCATGGTATAACCTGTGTGCTAGTTTCATCTCAGTTGGCAGTTGAGCGAAGCAATTTTCTGAAGGTGTTCACATCAACCCTTCAGGAGGGCGTGGTCCATCATACCACATTGGGCAAGAAGCAATCCACAGACTCTCACCCTCTGTGAAAACAAAATAAGAAACTCCTTTCCAAAGCATCATGTGCTTAGATCCAAATGTCAAAGTCAAGGCATTTTCAAAATATCTATGTTGGATTAGTTCAGCAGCATTTATAAATAAATATCTTTTAGCAGCTGTTGCTCTTTCCTCAGCATTCAAATAATTAAAAGAGAGCATAATAACATACAGTATCAAAATTCTCTGTGTATTTTCCATCTTTGTGCGCTTTATTTTAACCTCTATTTTGTTTATTTTTACTTTTATTTTTTGCTTTTTGAGACAGGTTCTCTGTATCTTTGACCTGGAATAACTCTGTAGACCAGGCTGTCCTTGAACTCTCAGAGATCCGCCTGTCTCTGCCTCCCAGGCATTGGGATTAAAGGTGTATGCTACTACACCTTGAACTCACAGAGATCTGTTTGTCTCAGCCTTCTAGGCACTGGGATTAAAGGCTTGTGCTACCACTCCTTGAAGTCACAGAGGTCAATCTCCCTTTGCCTCCCAAGTGTTGGGATTAAAGGTGTGTACTACCACACCCAACTACTCTCTTTCTTCCTTATTTTTGTTTTTTATTTTAAGAATTTTAATTTTTAGCCTGCATATATTTTTAACACACAGTAAGCCATTTAGAAATTTTCATTGTCTTTGAATCTCTCTTTACTATATATCTCTCTTTTTCTGACCACATGAGTCTTTAATTTACCAAGCAATATCAGTAGGACTAAAGCTGTGGCTTTGATGGCTGGATCCAGCCCATTCCTTAGCTCTCCATTGGGGCGTGGTCTCTCAGCGGCTATAGGCTGGAGGACTGGGAGGACCTCCTGCAACACACAACACATCAGAGCCCCCAAATAAATAAAGCAAAAACTGGTATTGTGGTCAATAGATGAATTTGGACTGGATTTTTACATACTCCAAACACCACAGTACAGAAGATAGGAAAATTGAATAGGAATATTAGAATATATGTTGGTATATATTGACTCTGATGAACAAAAAGTATAGTTCCCATATAGGAAAAAAATGTACAAAACAAAAAAAAACAATGTGAAAATGTTCTTGAGTCTTTACAAAAGATCAAAATTAGTTATTCATCAAGGATAGAAGACCTCAAAATGTAGTACATGATCATGAAAGTTGGCCAGCTATATGGAATTCATTTATCTAACCACTAATAATCTATCCTTCTAATAAACTCTTATTTTAAAAGTTATCTGTTTGTTTGAGCTAGGATCTCACTTTCTCATTCATGTTGACCAAGACTCACTTTGTAGACCAGACTGGTCTCGAACTCCTGGCAATCTGCTTGTTGCAGTATCCTGAGTATTGAGATGATAGTTATAAAATTCTATGTCCAGCAGTTTTCCTTTCCAAAGTTTTAAAAAATTTCTTTATTGAATCTTTAGGAGTTTCACATCATGTGCCCTAATTCTGTTGATATCCCAGATCCCTCATATTCTCCCCATCCCTGCTGTGTCCCCCCCATGAAAAAAAACAAAGAAAGCAACAAACAAGTAAAAGCAACAACAACAAAACCCCCAAAATAAGCCCAAACAGAACAACAACAAAAAACCACACCTGAAACAGAAAAATCTCTGTTTCTCCTTCTCCCCTGACTCTCCATCACTTCTTCATTCATCCTGATGATATCAGAGGTTTTGGTGTATCATATAGTATACCCCTTTGTCCCATCGGCTTGACTGGCAACTGTCCATTGCAATGAGTCATTAGTCTGATTCAAGACCTCTGATTTTTGGTATACCAACCTTACTAGATCCTCACTGGAGCTCTTCTGGGGTATACTGTGTCTTGAAGGTCTTGGGGGTTTTGTTCCACAGGACCAGTCTCTTCATGAGCTCCAGCAGGACCTAGATGGGGTTAGATGCTAGGGTGGGTCAAACTAAGGCCCAGCTGTGGGCCTAGGTGTTAACTAGGTAGGCCAGATAGAGCCACTGGCATTACCCTTCTCGGGTGCAGTGATTGAGTCAGCTCCCCTACATTCATGTCCTCAGGGCAGATTCATCTCCGCCTTTGGTGAGATAAGCCATGACTTTTCACTTCTTTTTTTTTTTAATTTTTTAATTTATTTATTTATTAAAGATTTCTGTCTCTTCCCCGCCACTGCCTCCCATTTCCCTCCCCCTCCCCCAGACTTTTCACTTCTATAAACAAGGTTGGTTACCCCAACTGCACAGGATGTGCTTGCTCATACATAGGTGGGCGATACCTTAGGAAGGAAGTATGTCAGGATGTATGCTTGCCCACAATTGCACGAAGGTGGGAAGTGTAGGTGGGAAACTCTAATTGGTCTTAATAATAAAAACTCGGAGTCAGCTATCAGGGGTGAACACTGAAGGATAAGAGAAGCAGAGTAGTCAGTCACTAGAGTTCTTACCCATGCTCAGACCAAAGGGGAAATCCTGTCCACAGACTGCCTCCTCAGGCTACTCCTCAGACGGACTGCAAGCTCGGTCTTCTGCCTTATATATTCCTCTCTCTGCCCAACCACAGATCTCCTATCTCCACCTCCCTAGTACTGCAGGGTTCACCTTTGTGTGAACTCTGTTTCTCTTTTACACAGATTTGATCTTGTCCAGCCCAGGGTGGCCTTGAACTCACAGAAATCAGTCTACCTCTATCTCCTGAGTGCTGGGATTAAAGGTGTGTGCTATCATCGCCCGGCCTCTGTGGCTAACTAGTGGCCCTCTAATCTTCAGGCAAGCTTTATTTGTTAAAACATAAACAAAATATCACCACAGGGAAGTACCATAGCTCTGGGTTTGGCCTTTATAGGCACCTGGACAACATAGTTTGAGGCCATTCTCTGGGAAACCTGGTCACTGCCCATCTTCCTGGCCAGTATTAAACAAAGCTTATTTTAATTGGATGATTGTCTACCTCTTTCTCCTCACCATGTTCAGGGTTAGTAATGATCTGGACTTACTCTAGTTCATCAAGCACACAAGACAGGCCCGGGAATACGGTGACAAATACGGTGAACAACGTTCCTGCTGTAGTAACACAGATCCTAAATGATGAGGCTCTTACCTCAAGCAGTGGCAATAAAAACGGACTATTAGATTCGATGACCGATGTGAGGAAGTAGTTAAACGGTGTAAAGACCTTCCCGTATGGCCACAGCAGGAAGGCTTGCTGGCTGAGGCGTGGGAAGAAATAAGTTTAGTTTGGGCCTTTATTGACCTGCTAAGATAAAATGTGGCTCTCCGGGTAGAAGGCAGCAGTTTTGTCTCGTCCACTACGCTGTCATCTCCAAGCTTAGCCAAAAAACCTAGCTCTTAAATCTGGTTGAATAAATAAATGTAGCTGTATAGGACCCCGTGTGAAGGATCACGAAGGAGAGTTAAATTTGGAAGCATGTCATCTGAGAATGAGTGTGATCAGGGTAACTCCTGCTTCAAATCTAGCAAGTAAACTATTAGAAAGGGGGTACTGGGGAGCTCTGGCCTCAGTTCACTGATATCTGTTTTGGTGCAACAGCATACTACACAAGTATCACTTGTTAACTCCGTGGCCCTATACGAACAACCTGCTGAACAACACAAACAACACATTGTAATTGGGTGGGTACGGGTGAGCCCACGGCCTCATCCTCCAGTCTGAGTCTGCAGAACCTCGTTTTTTCACAACTCCGATTGCAGGGCTCATGAAGGGCAGGTCTCACCAAAAGTCCGTGAAGCGATACCAGGGCGGGATAGGTGCAGCAGCCTGCGCCCCACACAGGGGGCGGTGCCCGGGCCGCCAGTCCCGCTGACGCCACATAGGCCGACATCACCTCAGCGGCGCGCGGTGCAATCACAGAGCGCTTCGCCTCTGCCTTGCCGCCTCCAGCAGGCTGGTCTCGAGATCCCTCCGCCAGGCCCTCCCGTGCCCGCTCCCGGCGCTGTGTTCCTGGGGATCAAGGGCCCTCGTGGCCCGCGGTCCTCAGGGCGTGGCCGTGTCTGCAGCGATCACTTGCTTGCCAGAACCCCAGTGCCACGGGCAAAGCCCACTCCCTCAGGCCCCCTCGGTGGCGCAAGGATCCCCGAGGTCAGAGGGGGCGTGGCCGCCAGCAGGCCCCGCCCTGTCTGTGACGTGCCGGTGGCGCGCGGCGGGCCGCGGGTGTGGGAGGTGCCCGGGCCTGTCGAGACCCGGAGGCCGGGGCCGCCTTGCGACGCCCACTAGTCGGCTTCTCCTGCTCCATCTTTTCGGAGAAGCAGCGGCGACCTCGGCCTCCAGCTCGTCCAGGGGGAGCGACGCGGCGGTCGGCCGGGATGGTGTTCCTGGGCTTGTTGCAGTCGGGCGGCTTGGTGCTGGGCCAGGCGATGGAGCAGGTGACAGGAGGCAACCTGCCTTCCACGCTGCTTATCGCCTGCGCCTTCACGCTCAGCCTGGTCTACCTGTTCCGCCTCGCAGTGGGCCACATGGTCCAGCTGCCCGCCGGGGCGGTACGTGCACCTCAGGGGTCCTCGTTCTGTGCCTGGGTCAGCCTTGCGGGGGAGGGCGGCTGGGGGCCCGGGTGGTGGCTGCAGACGCCGGTGTTGCAGGCGATCCTGATCTTTGCTTTCGGTAGTGGGGTCGTTGGAATCCGAATTCGGGGCTGTGCTGGCCGCCGCAGTTTCTGCCGTGGCAGTAACTTGCTTTGACCATCTGACTAGGCTCTCGCTTTTGCAGCGTTTGTAGTTGTAGCGATGGAAGTGCAGACTGGTGTGTGTGGCCTTTTGGATGGAGTTGGCTGGTCTTGGACGTGGACTGTAAATGCAGAACGCTGTACTGGCTTTGCTGTTTCCTTTCGAGGTGTTCAGGATTTTTGTGAGGGCCTTGGTGGCGAGTAATATGGACAACAGCGGCCCCGGTGGCCGTCCCTCTCTCTATTGCCTTGTGTGTTTAGTATCCTGTGGGCTATTGGAGGTAATGGCTATTAATATCAGTGTCAGGGAAATTGTGGCCAGTTCATAAGTGCCTGAGGAGAGCGTGATACTGTTAAAATAATCTAACCTAGCACTACAGCAAACCACGAGCTCCAAGTCTCCCAAATGTTATTTGATGAATGCCCTTTGTAATCAACATTTGAAACCGACAATGGAATGTTAAGAACGGCACTGTATCCAGCATTAAATCCTAACCAAGTTGCTTTTAAAATTATTTTTGTTTCAACCCGAACAAGCACTAGACAGTTACTATTTCTTACTTTTATTAGATATGCTATGTTAAAAGCATTTTTTTTGGGGGCGGGGCCTTATTGTAACCCAGGGTGGCGGCGGTGGAACTCGCTCTGTAGGCAAGGCTCACCTTGGCACATCTTCCAGCCTTCACTCCTTGGGTGGTGAGCTTGAAAGTGTGCTTCTACATTGCTTTGAGGAGATTGTATTTACCACTGGAAAGACAAAGGTACCTTATTCTAAAGTGCTGTGAGGTTTTGCTGTTTTGAGACCACCAAAGATGAGAGGAACATCATCTATTTTCATCGCTGCACGTTTTTTCCTCGCAGAGTCTTGGCAATCTGAAGATGTTATTTGGTGGCATCTAAAGCCCTTTTAAGACAAGCACTACAAAATTCCTGCTGGAGAAGGTCCGTTATTGATGGTTCTAGTTATTTGCAGTCAGAGAAGCATGACAAACTTCTGTTTCCCTGGAAATGTGAGAAACATTTTCTTTTCTGTAGTTTACTATCTGGCTTTTTCTGTTTCAGAAAAAGTCAGGCAAGACTCTGGAATTGAAAGGAGTGCTCGTAGACTGCAGAAACTTTGGGAATGCAGTCAACTCTCCCCTTGTTTGCTCCACCTTTTTGCCTGAAGCCTCAATAATATTGGACGTTTTTTGTTAGCTACCGATGTTCAAAATTGCAGTGCCTTTCTGCCTAGTCATTTCTATTTTGAATTCTTTTTGACTATACTTTCTCTAAAATATACTTATTTTTTTTAAACAGTAATCTCAAGCTGGCTCTCTAACAACTCTTAATTAAATGAAAATTAAAATTTCTTTTCTTTTTTTTTTGCAGAAAAGTCCACCGTACATTTTCTCTCCAATTCCATTCCTTGGCCATGCAATAGCATTTGGGAAAAGTCCAATTGAGTTCCTGGAAAATGCATATGAGAAGGTAAGCCTTTTAAAAAATCAGAGGTGGAGAAACTAGTTTAGAGAAGTGCTTTTCTTTAAATGGAAATGCATTAAATAAATGTTGTACCCTCTCTGCATATTGGCATTATTGAAAACATCTCTGGTTTAAGAGATAAAAGGCCTTGTTGACCTGTTTAGCTTCCCAGAGTGTTTGTCCTGGGTTAGTCTCTACAATGTGAAGAAACCTGTCTTTCTAACAATTATGTTTTAAAAAATAGTCTTAAATTTTATTTTCACTATTTATAGTCAAAGCTGACTTTTATCACTTTCCTTAATCATGTATCTTTGGGGTTTTCTGTCTTTTATCCATTGCTCTGTCGATCCAGTGTGATTTCACTCTCCACTTGGACAATGTAGATATTTAAGTCCTTGAAGCTTTCCTCTGCAAGCAGTGCTTTTGCATAGACTTCTTGTTACTCACTTCACTTGTTAATTATTTCAATTAATTACTTAACAGAACTCTCTCCTTTGTTTTAATGTAATTTAAAATTGTCTTTAAGAATTTCATAAGTGTACATATTGTATTTTGATCGTATTAACTTCCACTCCACTTTTCCCATTCCTCCTTGATTTTTTTCCCCCATGTCTCCCTCTGAACTTTATTTTAAAAAATAAAGCACTCAGTGCAATTTGTGCTGTTTGTATATGCATGGGTGTGGGGCCATCCATTAGAGCATGGTGAACGTGCTTCGGGCCACACCCTTAAAACCTGCCTCTTCAGTCCCTAGCAGCCAGGAATTGTCAGTAGGTTGGGGCTTGCATGTCTCTCCTGCATCCAAAGTGTTCTCAACACTTTCCTTTTAAGATTTGGTTTTAGTTGTTTGGAAAGCCTTTGTGTCTCTGATAGTATGTGTGTCTAAATGCAGCTGTTTGCCAAGGCCAGAAGAGGGCATTAGATCTCTAGAGCTGTAGCTACAGCTGGCAGCTACCCAGTGTGGGTGCTGGGAACCGAACTCAGGCCCTCTGCAAGAGCAGAACACAGAGCCAGCTCCCCAGTCTCTGTTCTTATACTGCACTTGTCCTGACTTACTTGTGCAAGACCTTTTGTTGTAATGATTCTTTGACATCATTCAATTCATGGATTCTGGAGATCAAACTCAGGTTGTCAGATTTGATGGCAAGTGATTTTACCCATAAGCCATCTCATCAGCCCCAATAAATTCGTTTTTAACAAAAAGGAAAAGTTATATTCTTATAAATGCTTATTAAAGAATTCTATATAGTCAACATAAAGCAAAACAATAATTAAAAACAACTCGCATATTACCTATATATTCAATAATGGAGAGCAACTGACTGAGCTAACAGTAGCACCTAATGATCAAATACATTAGAATTCTGATGTTTTGCGTAGTAGAAAATACTTTCAGGATAAACTGTGGAGAAGAACAAACCATTATATTTATGCTGCTTTTGTGATGAAGACAGGAGGTGTAATATGGCCAGATGAAAACAGCTGCTTAAAAGTTCATGAGTATTTGGAGCCTTTCCTTTAATTCTGTGATGTAAGGAGTGTTTTTTTCACATTACTTTTCTTTTTTAGTATGGTCCTGTATTCAGCTTTACCATGGTGGGCAAGACGTTTACTTACCTTCTGGGGAGTGATGCGGCTGCACTGCTTTTCAATAGTAAAAATGAAGATCTGAATGCGGAGGATGTCTACAGCCGACTGACCACGCCCGTATTTGGGAAGGGGGTTGCATATGATGTGCCAAATGCAGTAGGTGGCCTGTCTGTCTTGGATAAAACACAAACCTAAACTATAGTAGAGTAGTTACATCTAGTTACGTAATATTACACATTTGTAATGCAGGGCTAATTTCTTCTTTGACTTAAGAAATTAGAAATGTTGTGATATTTAAAAAGAAACTATGGGGAGCTGTTTAAGGGATGGGTATTTTATTTTATATTTGTTGTCAAGGCTAAACAAATTTTTAAATGGTTTTCCGATACAAGGAAATAGACTCAACAATAATTTAGCATGTTGGGATTTGACTTGAGAAAGGAACAAGAAAATACCATTATTCATCAAAAGGACTTCTTACTACTGCTTGGGAGTCTAGTCCAAGAGCTTGGAGTTGAAAATTGTTGACATCAGAACTCTTCTTGAGCTATCTGTGGTGACTCATACCAGCGATCCCAGCATTTGGGAAATTGATGCAGGAGAATCTTGAGTTCAAGCCCAACATGGACTGTAGTGTGAGACCTGATCTTTAAAAAAAAAAAAATTCTTTTAATCTGTCTACTCTGGGTATTATGTTTACCTGCTCCCAAATTAGCATATTGGTGTGTTATGAGTAGAATATAATTAGGTAATGGGGATGGCAGTGAAGAGTCAATTTTAATATTTCTGGGTTTGGAGTAGTAGAAGAAAGTCTCCCCTTTTGTAAAAGCAATGGTTTTCAAAAATTTTTGCCCAGATTTATCTCTTTATTATTTTAAATATTTTATTAGAATTTTTAAAGTTTAAATGCTTCAAAAAGTTTAAATTAGTTCAAAAATTATTTTATTTAGGCTGTTCTAAATTTCTGGAAGATAGTGTCAATGATGAATGATATCTAGAAATGTGATGAGAACATAGTTGAAGGAGGACATAGTGAAGTGTAATGAACTTTTGGGAAAGTGTATTAAGTGGTTTGGGTTGAAGATTAGAATACAACCGAGATTGGGAGTGGGTCTCTGAATAAAGAGTGGTGGGACATTAGAAGGTGAGAGGTAGGGTTCCTGATGGATCATTTTCTAGGATCCAGGGAGAGGAACCCCTTCCCATTTTTTTTTTTTTTAAGTTTCCATATGTGGTTTAGTTTTTAGAAATCCTGTTATTGTTTTTGTTTTCAAATTTAAGAATGTTTTTTTTGTTATGTAGCTAGAATAATCTGATGTAGCTTAGAATAAAATAAAAAATGTATTTTAATGTTCTGTACCCTTAATTTTTTTAAAGGTTTTTTTGGAGCAGAAGAAAATGTTAAAAAGTGGCCTTAACATAGCCCACTTTAAGCAGTATGTTTCTATAATTGAAAAAGAAACAGAGGAATACTTTCAGAGTTGGGGAGAAAGTGGAGAAAGAAGTAAGCAAAATCGTTACATTGGTCCTATTCTTTTCTGGTTATGTGTGTGTGCAGAACGAAGTACAGTATGGTGTAGAACTGCTGTGTGTCTAATGGTTTGGGAAGTGTGTATGACTCTGCAGTTGTGACACCAAATGCAGTCTTTAGTGTGCACTTCTAAGTATTGTCTTCTGAGAGCAGTTGGTGTATCTATACCAGGAGCCATATCTGCTTATGGGCCAGTGGGGCCAAGGCAGCAGGTCACCACCTCCTGATGTTGGCCGTAAGCTCCTATAAAAGATGTAGGAACTTTAATATCACTATACATGAAGCTGCTGTGATGATGTGTTTTCTAGTCACAGAAGGCGCTGATGTGCACATTAGAATGCCTATCGTTTGTTTATTTGTGAAGGCCCTTGCTATATAGTCCAGCTAGCTTCAAACTGGGGCCAGAGGGGCAGTGTGGCTTCGGTTTATTGCCTCCAGAGTTTTGCACAGCTGTGTAGCTGTCTGAAGACTTTGGAGGATGAATAGGATTCATAAATATTGGATATATTCCAATTTTTATATATCCATTTTTTTCTTCACAATTTCTTTATATGTTAAATTATTTTAAAAGATTTTTGAAAATTGTAATGAGAATTATCTTTTCTTCCTTTTAGATGTGTTTGAAGCGCTTTCGGAGCTCATAATTTTAACAGCTAGCCATTGTTTACATGGAAAGGAAATTAGAAGTCAACTCAATGAGAAGGTGGCCCAGCTGTATGCAGATTTGGATGGAGGTTTTAGCCATGCTGCCTGGCTGCTGCCAGGTTGGCTGCCTCTGCCCAGTTTCAGGTATGGATAAGGAGCACTTTGCACTTGTTACTGTGCTGTTTGTGTACTTTCTGATTTGGGCTGTTTAGGAGCCTCCATTTTATAAGAATTCAAGGCAGTTTATATAGTGAGTTCATTTAAAGTAAGCTTTATTTTATTGAGAAGGTAGTTTGTTGTGTCTTGTAATAATTTGCTTACCTAATATGTCTTCTTACTCCAAGAAGTCTCTAAGCTGTACTTAGAGCCATGACCTTTCCAAAGCACTTGTTTGAAAGCCTTGCTGGCTTTTCAGTACTTCTCTTGGGCCCTTTCTTTTGGCTGTTTGTGCATTTATTTGATTTTGTTTGTCTCCTTGCTAACGGTACTGTAGTTTCCTTAAGGGCAGGAACTGCCTCTGATTCAAAGCAACGTGGTCTTTAGGACTTGGTGTGGAGCTCAGGTCTTAATAACTGCTTGCTTTCCTCCCTTTCTAGGTTGTTTCTGTTTATGTGAGATGGAATTAAACTATTAGCTTTGTTCCATTGATATCCACCCCTTTATTTATTTTTGTTTGTTTTTGGTTTTGTTTCGAGGCAGGGTTTCTCTGTAACATTCCTGGTTGCACTGGAACTCTTTATAGATCAGGCTGGCCTCAAACTCACAGAGATTCACCTATCTCTTTCTCCTTAGCACTAGGATTAAAGGCTTGTGCCACCACCACGTGGCTCACACCTTCTATTTTGCTGCCAAATAAAGGCTATTACAGTGAAAGAGCAAGCACAGGGAGGGTCCCTGGAAATCAGCATTTATAAGAAACTTTGCAGTAAAAAAAACAAAAAAACAAAAACCAAAGCAACCGAAAAGAAATGCTTGTCTGTATATTGTGCTGGCATGCACTGCACTGCTCCTCACCCATAGTTTCTCTGACATAACATCGTCTTGTTTCTATCTCCTCCATTTCTTGGTTCTTGTCAAATTTCTAGTGCTTCATGTTATAGCCTGATCTTTCCCTGTTTTACTTAAACCAACTGGTTTAGTGAAATTATTCCATGTACTTTTAATTTTTTGTTACTAAACCTTGGGCGTACTAAACACATGTTCTACCTCTAAGTCAAAGCCCTACTATTTACTTACTTATTTAAACCTTATGCCTTCATCCCTATTTTTTACTCACATTATGATGTTGAAATGGAATCTTCCTTTCTGTGTGTCTCAATTGTCTTCAACAGTAGTGCTTTAAGTGAAATAAGGCAGTTTTCATTAGAGAGTTTGATGGGCTTTTAGGAGTCAGTATTACTTTTTTTTTTTTTTTCCGAGACAGGGTTTCTCTGTAGCTTTGGAGCCTGTCCTGGAAATCCCTTTGTAGACCAGGCTGGCCTCGAACTCACAGAGATCCACCTGCCTCTGCCTCCTGAGTGCTGGGATTAAAGGCGTGCGCCACCACCGCCCGGCTCAGTATTACTTTTTAAAATAAAGATTTTATCTTTGCCTCTTGTCTCTCTTTTGTCGCTCTGTGTGGTGTGTCTCATGTGTGTGCACACATGAGTGCTGGTATTTGCAGAGGCTAGATGTAGGGATAAGTCCCGCTCCTTAGGGGGCGTGTTCGCCTCGGGCTAATGTCTGCCTATAAATTTGGCGAGCGTGCTCCGAGCTGTCTCTTCTGCTTTCCTGGTCCCCGCGGGAACGGTGGTTCTGTAAGTCTATTTCTACATTAAAACTATATATATTTTTACAATCTGTCTGCATTTGTTTACGCCGCTACAGCTAGAGGCATTATCTGTCAGCTCAAACAGCCGGTAACACCAGCTCCAGGATTTCTGCTGTTTGAGCTGTCAGATGTGGGTTCTTGGAATTCAACTCCCAATCTCTGTAAGAGCTCTACTGAACTACTGAGCCATCTTCTCCACCTCAATATTGCTTGGTTTTAGAGTCTTGTTGTTGCTCACTAGCTATGTGGATTGAGTGGAGTCTCTTATGAATTGGAGGCAATGAGCACACTGACCAAAAGAAAGGTTTTGAAGCTGGAGCATGTGTTTTGACACAAGGACTTTTCTTCATGCAAAAAAAAATTATGCAGTTATAGAAAGTGAGAAGTAGAGTAAAATCCTATGAGAGCCAGTGCGACTTGGTAGCTTTGAGGATTGATTTGGAAAATCAGACCCTTATGTTAATTTAGACATGTGTTATGTTGAACTGGAAAATGCTTGAAGGCAATGTCATGCCTATTTATCTAGGTCGTGTGTTAGCAGTATGAGCTATGTTGACTAGCTTTGCACTAAGAACTGTCAGCATGACTACAATGTGAGTTCACAACTCATTTTTGTTGACATAGTTTTCTGTCCTGCCTGGTTCCTGCAGTCGTTAAGTCCTAAAGAATCACACAGAGGTCTACATCAATTGTAAACTGATTGGCCCAGTATCTCAGGCTCTTCTTATTAATTAATTCTTATAACTTATAACTTATATTAGCCCGTAATTCTTGTCTGTGTTGGCCACGTGGCTTGGTACCTTTTTCGGCAAGGCAGTCACATCTTGTGTCCTCTGTGTCTGGGTAACAACTGCAGGCTGAGCTTTCCTATTCCCAGAATTCTCCTGTTCTCGTCGCCCTGCCTCTACTTCCTGCCAGTTGCCCACCTATACTTCCTGTCTGGCTACTGGCCAGCAGTGTTTTATTAAAATACAATTGGCAGGGTATAAACCATTGTCCTACAGCACCTTTTTTCTGGTTCTAAGTTTTTGTCACTTACTTAGATTAGTAAACTAATGTTTTATGTTTGTTATTAGTTTAGAATGTGAGTCTATAGAATAATTACTCTATTGAAAATACTCTGGTTTTAAATTGTAGACGCAGGGACAGAGCCCATCGAGAGATCAAGAATATTTTCTATAAGGCCATCAAGAAACGCAGGCAGTCCGAAGAAAAAGTTGATGACATTCTCCAAACTTTACTAGACTCTACATACAAGTAAGAACTGTCAGATCACACGTTAAGCTGAAACTACAACTTGGACATGAAGATGTAGATTACTGGTATTTCCGGTTAAAAAGGAAAGGCAGTGGGGCAATACATTGGTACTTGTAAATTGTAGAGACACGAAGCACTGGGCCCTTGTGCCTTATTGCAACCCCAGAAGCAGGCATAGGTAACATCGGCAAATAAACTGGAAGGAAGTCTTCCACATCTTGCTTTCTCCTGGTTGGTCTTTTTTTGGGGGGGGGACCCTGATTGGTAGTAGGTAAGAAGAGAGTTGATTATGTCCATAAATTGTATTAATGTTAAGTGTGTGGTTCATCCCCAGGGACGGGCACCCTCTGACAGATGACGAGATAGCGGGGATGCTCATCGGACTCCTGCTGGCAGGACAGCACACCTCCTCCACCACCAGTGCCTGGATGGGCTTCTTTTTGGCCAGAGATAAACCGCTTCAAGAAAAGTGCTACTTAGAACAGAAAGCAGTGTGTGGTGAGGACCTGCCTCCCTTAACGTATGAGCAGGTTTGTGCACAGTTTGAGGCCTTCTGTCACTATAGCTCCAACTGCTGATAGGCTTTCAGAGACTTTTCTACAAGCTTAGGGAACAGTAAGAGCCAAGCTTCTCTAAACTTCACAGGTGGATTTCGTACTGAGGCTTTAGCGTGCTCTACCCTGTTGCTTTGCTGCTTAGCTTTTGACGTCTGGCCTCTGGACATGGACTATATCATATGTATGTTGTGGTTTTTTATAAAGTGTAGGAGCTTTGGAGTACATGGAATTCTGTGGCCTGTGTTTGGGTAGAAATGATATAAGCACTCCACTGAGCTTGCTGGGCAGGAAAACAGGAGAGGACTCATTCACTGAATAACTTGGCAGCTACTTTTGAAGCACGCCCTGGTCTTATCCTTTTTCTATTATATTTTGTTTAGATACTTCATTAAAATGGTATGTTACATCCAGATATTCTTACATTCCTGGGGTAAATCTATATATATGTATGTATATATGTTTCTCATTTTTTTATATAAGCATAGTATATACATATATATATATTATAGACATATATAATAGAGGATATACAGCTGTAATTTTATTGTATCATCTTTGACTGGTAATATGCCAATTACCTCTTACGAATTAACTTCTTTCCCTAGTAGTTAACCTTAATTACTCAGAGGGTCTGATGATTCCCCATTATTAATCTTTTAAAAATGCCCCACTACTTCCTGCCATCACCATATGAACCTTTGGATTACATTTTTTCTTTTCTTTTCCTTTCTTTCTTTCTTCCTTCCTTCCTTTCTTTTTTTTTTTTTTGAGAGAGAGTTTCACTGTGTAGCTCGTGATTGGTTTAGAACTTACTATGTAGACCAGGCTGACCTCAACTTAAGAGATACCTGCATTGACCTCCTGAGTGCTAGTGGCTGGTGAATATTTAATGACATCCAAGCTGTAACAGAGGGATAAGGTTCATCCATGTTGGAGCATGTGTCAGTATTTCAATCTTTGTCTCCAATAATATTCTATAATAGGCACATACTGCATATTACTTATTCATTTGTCCATTTTTTACATATTTGGGTTATCTCCACTTTATGAGGTCCATACCTAGGAGTGAGATTGCTGGGTCATACAGCAATACATATTGATGTATTGAACTTCTAAAATGTTTTCCAAACATTTGCTCAGTTTTTAACTTTGTCAGTAGCATTGTGTTCTGATGTTTGCTATCCTCCTGGCTGTAATGTATGTGACGTGGTCTTTTGAGCTAAGTAACTTTCCCCTGATGACTGAGTATTTTAAGATATTTTCTTAGGAGACTGTTCAGATCCTGTCTCTTTATAATAAGGCTGCCTTTCACTGTCCTGAGCAGGTGTGTGTTTACAAAAGGTGTGAAGACTTACTTACCCCTCTGTTTTCTTCTTAGTTTCCTTCTACTTTTTGGTCTTTGTCCTGTTTTGAATTAAACTTGAATATAATGTGAGATAAGAACCCTTGTGCCTGTTCTGTGTGTAGAGATCCATTTATCCCAGCACTGTGTGTTGAAAAGACTACTTTCCCCCAGAACGGGCTTGTCAAAAATTTATTGGCCACAAATTTAAGGCTTTATTTCTGAACTCTGAATTCCATTCTATCAAGATGAGTGTCTAGCTTATGAGTTAACTATGTTTACTTCTGTAAGTTTTAAATTTCAGAGTGTGGCTCTAATCTTTTCCAACTATTATAGTTATTTCTAGTTTATTCAATTTTTACTAGAAGTTTAGACGAGATGGGGGGAGCTGGAGGGGAGAGGGAGGGGGAATTGTGGTGGGTAGGTAAAATAAAATACAAAAAGAATGTTAGAGTCAGCTTGTCAATTTCTGTGAGCTTGTAATTGAATGCACCACATTTGGGAGTACTGCCATCCTACTGTTTTAGACACAACTCCATGAACATGGCGTCATGGTGTAGCTTTTCCTTATTTTTGGTCTTTTAATTTCTTCCAACATTTTTATTTTTTATTTATTTTTTACTTGTCATTGAAAAGGTTTATACCCCTTTGTTAAGCCTATTTTTATTCTTTCAATGCGTTGTTTCTTATTTATTGTGTGCGCTGTGTGCCTGTGTGTGCCATGGTGCCCAGGAGGTGGCAGAGGGCAGCACGGAGGAGCTGCTTCTCTCCACTGCATGCATCATCAAGCTTGGCAGCAAATGTCTTTTCCTGCTGAGCCGTCTTGCCGGCCCTTAAGTATTCTTTTTATGTTCATTCTCATGCCAGTTCAAATCTGCTATTGATCTACTCTAGTGAAAGTCTTACTTATATCTTCCAGTTGCAGAATTTTTATAATTTTTTAAAAAACTATTTTTTCTATTTCATGAGGTATTGTTATATTGTTTCATACTTTAATTCTTTAGGCCTAATTTTGTTTTTGTTCTTTGAAGGTATTTATAATAGTCCGTTTAAATTCATTTAGTAAATTCAGTGTGTTTCCTTATTGGAGGTTGTGGTCATGGCTGCCCATTTCCTTTTGAGGGTTGCAGGATGGGCAGTTAGAACTGCAGGTCTGCTCCCTGAGGTCAACTGGTAGCTGCTGAGAATGTTGGAGAGGGAGAGGAAGGGTCAACAGAACGGTGGCCAACAAGGAAAACGGACACACCCCGTGTGCCTCCAAGTGGCTTCTGACTGCTATCCCATTGGTGATTTCTGTTCTCTTCCTATATTACTAAATTTTAATACTCTATAAGAGGCTAGTTGCTTTAATTTAAAAAAAATCCAATTTAATGATAGTTCCCATTAATCTTCCTTTCGTGGTATATATGAGCTGTAGTTGTAGTTCTTAGTTTCCTTTTTTTTTTTTTAAGTTTCTAATATTTTTGTTGAATTTGCTATATTGAAAAGCAGTAGCAGCTCTAGAAATGAGATCCCTAACCCCGAGGTTTGTTCCTTCTGCAGGGTTTGTAAACGTGTGTGATCCTGTCTATGTTCAGTGACTCTCATAAACAGATGTCTGCATTCATCTGTATTCAGTGAACTCTCCTGTTTATTTCTGTGGCCACACAGTGATTAGAGACTTTGTAAATCTTTTTTGTTGTTGTTTTGTTTGAGATAATCATCTCACTATGTCTTTCTGACTGGTCTGGAACTCATTGTGTAGACCAGCCTGGCTTTGAACTCCCAGATATCTGCCTGCCTCTGGGATTAAAGATGCTGCCATTCCTGAGCGTATCAATTAGAGATTTTTTAAACTGTCTTGAACTCAGCTTTTGCTGAGGCGCTATGCATGTTCATGGCATGTTATCAGGAGTGCGTCAGGAGGTTACAGTGGTGTGTGCTGGTCAGCCCAGGTGGGAGACTGGATCTCTGTCATGTCTGTGCTGCTTTCCTGTGCAATGCATGCGGCTTCATGTTAAGGACTTTTAGGGTCTCTTGTCATTTTCATTTTCCAGGTGTCGTCTTGTTAAGTATCTGGTTTTATTAATTGTACCACTACCTCACGTACTTAACAGTATTAAACAATGTCTGCTGGATATTTCTTTTTTGTTTTTTCAATATAAGTTCTCAATTTAGCCAAGGCTGCCTCAGCTTCTGGATGTGGGAGGGAGGTGCTGCTCTGTCTGGCTCTTCTCGGCATATTTGCTCTGCCCTCTCTGAATAGCGAGGCTGTAGTTGCCATGCTTTGCTTTCCAAGGCTCCCACTGATCTGCAGTGTAAGGTAACACCAAGCTTGCTTTGCTCACCAACATACAGCATTGTTTTTTCTTGAATGAACTTATGGTAGATTGTTATATGCCTTTGTCTAATTTGTCAGAGTTTTGAAAAAGTTGACACTGATTATTGAAAATCTCAGTTTTTCAAAGAGTGAATTTTTTTTGGTCCTTAACCATACAGTTGCCCCTCTCCGTGTTATTTTGGCCCCCACTTTTTCCATTGACTGAGTAACCTTCCCAGCCATTATGAATTAGTTACCACTGCCCTTTTACTCTCACACTGGCTAGAAAATTAGAATAATTTTCTCCTACTGTGGAGGTATGGTGAATATTTGTGTGTGTGTGGGAGGAAATACCAGAGATGATCCTTGATTTTTTTTTTTTTTTTAAGCTGAAGGATCTGAATTTGCTTGACCGATGCATAAAAGAAACATTAAGACTGAGACCTCCTATAATGACCATGATGAGGATGGCCAGGACCCCTCAGGTAAGTCTCGGCTAGATTTCCCTGCCTAGGGCCCAGTTTCAGAGAGAATATTTTAAATTATAAACGTAAAAACTGTCATTATTATAAATGTATGAAAATCATTACATAATTACAAATAGTAAACATGCAACTCTAATTCTGTTATTACTTTTTATTTAACAATTGCAGTTTTTAAAGATTAGAGGGTCATTTCTTTGTTGGCTTTAGATATAATATGGTATTTTGTAAAAATTATAAGTGTGAATTATATAGGTCAGATTATGAAAGGTTTTGAAATTCTACTCTGCTTTGAGCTGGGTTTGTATATATGCTTCTAGTTCAGTAGATAATTTCAGTTGGTTTATCATCTAGACAGTTTTTAAACGTATGTGTAGTTCACCTTGTTTGGTACCGTGTTGAAACATTCTCTAATGAGATGTCTTATTTCTCACTCTGTAGACTGTGGCAGGGTACACCATTCCTCCAGGGCATCAGGTGTGTGTTTCTCCTACTATCAACCAAAGGCTGAAGGACTCCTGGGTAGAACGCTTGGACTTTAATCCTGACCGCTACTTACAGGATAACCCAGCATCAGGAGAGAAGTTTGCTTATGTGCCGTTTGGAGCTGGTAAGAGGGCTGCTTACGTTTTAGGTTAAAGTATTTGCCTCTGTTATTTGTTTTTCTTCAGTAAAACAACTTGAAGGTGGGGGGAGAGATAGGGAAGGAGAGAGAAAGATTTTGGGAATTGGCTCTGTAAAATCTGTAAAATATTTTCTAAGTCTAAGGATATATCTTTGTATAATGCTTCATTGCTCTGACCCACATCCTTTTATTTGTTCCAAATATATGAAGACCTTGAAATTCAGATCATTATTTAATAAGTACACTTAACATGAGATACACAGGATTGTAGATTAATAATTGAAAGGGCCCCTAGTTCTGCAGTTTAGATTCTGTAATGAGAGAGGCAGCATCACTAAACTGGTGCCTGTTTCCATTGCTGTAACGCACCGGACTGGTCCTGCGCCTTATGCGGCTCCTGCGCCTTATGCGGCTCCTGCGCCTTATGCGGCTCCTGCGCCTTATGCGGCTCCTGCGCCTTATGCGGCAGTACATTCCATTTCAGATGGTCCTGATCACGGTCTTGGCTTTTCTTCATCCCTGTGTTAATATTGTAGAGTTTCTATAGCTAACATAATCTGGGTATCTAAAACCAAGATTGTCTGTCACCTTCCCATTCTGGAGGCCAATTGTCTGAAATCAAGGGTGTTGGCAGGGCCATGCTCTCTCTGAAGGCTTTGAAGAAGGGTTCTTGCTTCTTCCTAGTTCTAGAAGTTGCGATTCTTGGCTTGGGGCTGCATCTCACTCCAGCTCTGTCTTTCCTATTTATTTATCTGTTTATACTTTTTATATAACATTGTAAGTAGTCAGAATTTATCAGTTCTTTTGTTGATTCAGTTAGGGTACTTCTGGCTATTAACTTCTTACTTTAAGCCAGACTTCTTGAATATGGACCAATGTTAAGTGGCTCCCTTAAATGTGGCTCCCACCAATAAATGCTTAAGGGGCTATGCAAGCATGGTGGTAAGCCGTGTTCAATTTTATTTTTTCTTTAGCAAAAAATATTTACAACAAAGATGTCCCAATGTCTCCTCTCCTCTCCCCTCCCCTCCCCTCCCCTCCCCTCCCTTTTTCTCTTCTCTCTTCTGTTTGTTTTTATTTGTTTTTTTTTTTGTTTTTTTTTTTTTTTTTTTTTTTTGGAGACAGGATCTTACTATGTACCTTTCAATGGCCTGGAGCTCTATCTGTAGAGTTCTTCTACAGGTTGGCTTCTAATTTATGGAGATCGGCTTGCCTCTGCTTCCTGAGTGCTGGGATTAAAGGCGTGCACCATAACGCTGGGCCCAGCCAAAATGTTCCAGACTTAAAACATTATGACATTGTCTTTTTCCAGCCTCCTGCCATAAATGTGATTTCCTGTTCTTTACTAACCCTTAATGACTTTAGTATTGATAATCTAGGATTGTCTTGAACTATTTTGATGTGAGAAAGGGATGAACTCGTGATTCTTAGATTCTCTTCACACCCATAGTTTAGTCTTGTTATTCCAGCATTTTCTCAACTTGATGTAAGACTGACAACCAGATAGACATCAGATTCTTTCTGAACTCGGTTCTGTCCCCGTGATCTATTTGTTGGTCCTTGTCTAGAACCATACTGCACTGGTTCCGGGACCTTGAGTCATGTGATCAAATTTGAAATCAGCCTAAATTCTTTAGTGTAGTCCATGCTTAAGGTTGCTCTGGCCTTGTTTCCCTGTGCATTTCATAATTTCTCAGCTTTTGTAGATTTTGATTCTAGTATAGATGTTATTTTGGCTTTATTAAATCCCCTTCTGTTATCATTGTACTGGACAAAATGAATTTTGATTCACAGGATCACACTGGACGTAACACTAGAGCTCTCTTGGGACCCATATTCTACACATACCCAAGCCTTCTTTGTTTGCCCTCCATAATGCTAAATTTCACAAAATGTTATCATAATCATCTTCATTTTCCTCCAACACTGGAAATTCCTGGGCTTTTTATAGTATCACTTTTTGTACAAGGTGTCATCCTTTTATTGTGCTGTTGCACATCCCCTGCTCACTTAAAACAAATGTCACTTCAGGCTGAGAGAGGTAAGAATTCAAAACTTTTTCTGATGAAAACTTTTTTCTTTTTTTAAAAACAGGACGGCATCGTTGTATTGGAGAAAATTTTGCATATGTTCAAATTAAGACAATTTGGTCTACTATGCTTCGTTTGTATGAATTTGACCTCATCAATGGATACTTTCCCAGTGTGAATTATACAACAATGATTCACACCCCTGAAAACCCAGTAATCCATTACAAAAGAAGATCAAAATGAAAAAGGAACAAGGAACCAGTGTGGGTTAATGACTGCAAGCGGCAGCTTGAGAGAGAATGAAGCTTATGAAACAACTTTCAGTGTGTACTGTTTTTTTGAGTGTGTAATTCTGAAAGCCAGTTTGATTTTAATGTCTTATTAATGCAGGTGATTTTTAGCAAATCTAATGGCATTTGAAACAGTTGATAATAGTTTTGATAGGACTTCATGGAAGTCAAACTTTTGAGTTAGAAATTGTTTCGGGGACTCTAGATAGTTGGCTAGAGAATACAGTGTTCAGGTGTTAACTTCAGAAGCACACATTGCTCCAAGGAGACCACTTTCACGAGTGTATTCTGTAAGTTTAAAAGCCTAGTCAGATTCTGCAAATTGTGTGTAAAAATGCGAAAGGGTAAAGAATAAAGCTCCCTGCCAAAGCTTCAGATGAAAGTGAACACTAGTTAGATGGAGTGATGTGTCCTTTGAAATTTTAACTTGAAGCACAGCTGCAGGAAGATGGCAGAGACATCGGACCATGCCTTGGTTGCCATGTTTCCTAAAAATAATAAATACTAAAAAGTGCTATGTTACCAGCTCCGCGTGGTCAAATTTTGGTGAATCTTTATGGGATTTGATTGTGATTGCTTGAGGTTCTTTGTATCCTCTCCAGAATACAGTTAGAGAAGTTTCAGTAAGATCTTGAGACCAGTGACTTCTGGGCTTTAGGTTGGAATGAGAAATGGTGATGACTGGTTGCATTTTGTAGGAGCTGCGTTCAGGAGCCCTAGCCTAACCAATTGTAACCATGGGCCCAACTCTGTGACATACCTGTCATCATACTGGAGGAGTCAAGATGATTCTGTGCCCATGTTTCATGCTTGTGCCTAGCACTTAAGGCTGAGGCAGGAGGATTTTTGAGTTTGAGACCAACGTAGGCTGCATAGCAAGACTGTCTCCCCTCCCCCCTCAAAAAAAGGAAAGAAATACCCTCTCCCAAATAACATTTTTTTCCCCTAAAGTATGTTACAGTTTTAAGAGGCTTAAAGACTCTGTATGAAGGCAAATCTCTGCTGTTAAAGGTTTCACATTAAAAATGTCTGACAAAAATTTAACCGGTCTATTCATGGATTTAAATTGTGTACACAGTGTAAGCACAGTTCAAAGGATCTGAGAATTTGGAAAATTAGATCCTATTTGTATGAATTAGACTCCTGTTGGTAGTGCCTTTGGGTTATGAATTTAGGCAAGTCACTAGTGTTATCATCTCCTCGTGAGCAACCAGGTATTTTTTCAATAGTTGTTGAACTCACTACACTTTTTTCTCCTTTTTGCTACAGTAGCTATTAGACTACTTCTAGGTCATAGATGCTGTATTTGCATGCATCTATGCATGCACAGCTTTTATTAAAGGTTGATGATTGTTTCTATGTAATGCATTTTCTTTATTATTCTGAGAAGGGTTCTAGACTTAGATTTGTAGATTTGTGGCACAAGAGTTGTGACTCTTGAGTAAGGCTGGCCTGTTTACTGACTCGTTTTAGACTTTGACATATTTTCAGTACTGGGGTTAAATAAAGGGCCCAGGCACTAGAATTCAACAGATCAGTTACTGAGAATAACACAGCAGAGACCTAAGGCCGTAGGAGGTCGACGGTACATCCAGCAGTGGGGCAGACTCAGCTGGCAAGCACTTGTCCATCCATTTTCCTAGAGAATGGCCTTGACTTGGCAACTGTATTAAAAGGTTTTTATGCACAATTTTCCCCTGCAACTAATTACTTTAGAGTAGCTTTTCTATTTCTAGAAAGCTTAGTTGTTAATATGAAAAATAATATTAATTAGAAATTCCCAGCAATGTATAGCTTTGTGATTGTGTTCCTATAAAGACCATTACTAGTGAAACAATATCTTCCAGATGTAAAGAATAATGCTGCCATTTTAGGCAATGCTGTGCAAGTAGGGAAGAAGCCCTCTGGAGAGCTGTATTCTCCGAGTTTCCCAGTTTGACTGACTTAGCAGGAGGCATCCTGAATTTGCTGCACTCTTCTTGATACAATTTAATATTCTTTGAGCTGATTTCTGTTTAGATTGAGAGGAGGCTTCTTTGGACACAAGAACACTAAATGTAATAAAATAGACTAATCATGACAATGCTAATAACATAAGAGTCGAAAACACTTATAATAGATAGTTCATACAAGGGCACACTGAAAATGTTCCGTAATGGAGGAAGAGAGAAACCCACTTTTTGGATCTTAAGTTCTCCTTATTAGAGATAAGAAACAAGATGATATGTACCATGAGCTGAGCTGTGGCTTAGTTAAAAATAAAGGTTCAAATACAGTATGGTGAAAGTGGTGAAGTCATTTTTATTTCAGTACTAAACAAAATATCCCAGTGAAGTTCAAATACTCTACCATTATACACAAATAGGTCTCTCCAAGTGATGTTATGTCTTCAGCACCAGGAGCAAATACATTAGGCAGAAACATGAAGCCCTGTAGTAAAAAGTGCAGGAGCTACACATCTACCAGCATTGTCATTTGAAAAACTTTAAAACCCTTCACCCATCTGATAAATGCAGTTTATAGTTTAATCATTTAAGCTAGCATTCCACAAACATATATGTAATTTAATGATTACTGTGGGTGTTTATATACACAAACTCCAGTTTGTCTTTATGTGCTGGCAAGGATTTGTACACAACCGTAAGTGTGTTTGTACTGGTTGGTCCCACTGAATATACACAATGAAAAAAGCACAAAAGAGCCACTGGTTTACAAAGGGAATCTGTTTAAAATTCAGTTAATGCTTTCCTTATGGCAGGATGAAATTGAAAATTATCTCCTTATACAATATGATATCAGAAGGCAGGTGAACCTGTAAAATAAAAAACCAAAACAATTAGATTGTATCAGGGCAGCCAGTTCACATAGGCAGATGATCTATTTAAAACCATCTTAAAATGTTGGGGGCCAGTGAGATGTTTCGGTGGAGGTGCTGCCAAGCCTGACAATCAGAGTTTGATCCCTGAAACCCACATGGAAGGACAGCCAATTTCTGTAAGGTTTTTCAGTGTCACATGCTGTAGCACAGGTGTGCACATACACATAAATGTAAAATAACAACAACAAAAAAAAACCAACCCAGTGTCTTCATATCTGAACTTCATTTTTTTTCTTAAAGATTTATGTGTGTGTGTGAGTGCGCACGCATGCATGCACATACTTATGAGTACAGTCCAAGGATATTCTAGACCACTGGATCCTCTGAAGCTGGAGTTACAAGGGAGTTGTGAGCTATTTGACACTGGGTGCTGGGAGCAGCCGCAGGTCTTCTAGAACAGTGTGTGTCCTTTAGTACAAAGCTTTCTCTTCAGCCCCATACTTGACCTTAGTTCTAAGAGGCTGACTACATTTAGAAGTCACCAAGCAAGGGAAGTGAAGCAATGCTCATGTGTTCCATGACTGCTCTGTCTGAAGGTTGTGTGGGTTTAACAAACAACTTCTATAGTCCACAGTGTATGTATTCATAGAAAGAGAATCCTAAAAATAATTAGAACAGAAGAAATGCCTTCCAAGAGCACTGGATTCTCAGCAACCACATGGCAGCGCACAATCATCTAAAACTCCACTTTTCGGTGATCTAATGTCCTCTTCTGGCCTCTGCAGGCACTAGGCATGAATGAGGTATACATACACACATGGAGGCAAAACATCCATACAAAGAATAATTAAAAAATGAAAAAATTAAAGTGAATTGCTAGCACAGTAACTTAAAGTGATTCAGTTTTGGAGCCAGTAGTGAGCAAAGGAAGGCAGGGAAGTTTTCCAATGATGAATGGAATCTGCCTCTACATAAAGTATAATACTTCATGTATATTTCCGAAGAATAAAAGATAATTCTTACAGAGTCTATATGTAAAAATATCTTAAATCTTACATTTTTATTTATGTGTGTGTAGGTTATATCCCACAGTGCAGTCAGAGGGCAACTTGAGGGACAACTCACGATTGAATTCAGGTACTCAGGCTTGAAGGAAGGCGCCTTGACCTGCTGAGCCATTTCTCCAGTCCTTAAAGTCCACCTTTATGGAGTGTATGACACTGAACTTTTGAGGAGAGAAAAGATGATGCTTACAGTGCAAGGGATGGCTTGTTTAAATGATACGTAGAAGGACAATTAGGAATGGGGAAAATGGCTGCATTACTTGCTTAGGGCAAGGCTTGCTCTGCCTTCTACATTTTGCTGTTTTCTACCATATGAGGAACAGGTTCTGCCACGGTCCTCAGCAGCAGAGTACCTGGCAGTGCTCATCACGCACTTTGTCTAATTCAAATGAAAAAGTACCAAATCATTCCGTCAGGGGCTACTGGTAGAACACGGGAGAGCCAGTTCTCTGCTGGTCAGAGATTAAGCTGGGACGACCTGGGAACTTAGGCACCAAGCTACAAGATTCAGTTAACCCAAAGAAATACGTCAAGGAGTTAGAGAGAGACAGGTGGGTCTAGCATTGCCGCTACAGAAAAGTGGTTAAAATTCGGCACCTTACTGTAAAGTAATTCTGAGTCGTCTCTGTAGTTCATTGATCTGGGTGACATAAAACCAGTAAAGGTTTAAAAAAAATATAAAAAATTAAAAAATAAAAACAGTATATGTGCTATTTACAGTCAGTAAAAAAATATAAAAAAATAAAAACTGTATATGTGCTATTTATAGCCAGTTTCTATTCTTGCTAAAAGAGACAGTACAAACTAAAGAGTCTTTCATTGGTTTTCTGTTTACATTCGAACATGACTTAAGAGCTATCCTTCAAAGAAAATAAACTCACTGGAATACTGTATTTGTAAAGTACAAGATCAAAGGGGCAAGGGTTTCTGAGTGGGTAAGGTTCTAGGAGGGGGGGAGATGATGTGGATAAATACTCTATGCTAATATAAAAGTCTTATCTTCACTATATTAGAAACAAAACAAAATAAAACTAAAAATGTGAAATCAAGATTTTCTAGCTTTTCTTGTCAACACAGCTCACTATGGTAAAAATTTCATCTCAGTGTAAGGCTATCCTAAAATACTCTCAGGGTACCAAACATACTTCCTTTCTCTAAGGCTCAGAAGTCAGGATACCTGGACATGGCACGGCCTTGAAATCACAGTGTGTCTTCTATCCTGTGCTCTCCAGCTCTTGACCTCCTTATGCCTTGAACTGTTCTAGCCCTAACATTTTTCCTACTGAGTTCTAGCTGTACAGAGAAGGAATTTAAAGTTACCATTTGTTGTGGGAGGACCTTCCACTCCTTCAGCCAATAGTTGTTGAAGTACTAGCCCATTGAGCTGCAGGAGTGCCTTCCGCTCCTTCAGCCAATAGCTGTTGAAATACCAGCCCACGGGGGCGTGGTCCATTTATCTTTAAAAAAGAGCAGCAAGCCTCGGCCCACTCCACTCTTGTTTCAGCGCTTGGTTCCTGCTCCTGCTCCTGCTCCGGTGACTAGGCTCCTTTCCTGACGGCTGGTGTTTCGTGAGTTTTACCCCCCTAAATAAATATCCCTTTAAATCATAATTGGTGTGGGATTGATTTGTGCATAAACTA